AGGGAAGGTTAGGCCTTGATTTCATAAAAGTCTTGTGGCAATCGGTATTGATGTGATTGAGATGTATGGAGGGTTCTATGCAACAAAGCTCTTAGTGGTCCCAATCGGCAGGTGAACCCTGGGAGGGAGTTCATGATGAAGAAAACCTCGGGCAGTTAATGCAAATAGTTCAAAACAAGGGTTATAGCTCAGCAGTCTAGCATGAGTTTTCCATGCACAAGGTCCTTTGACATCTGATAAGCTGCTTCTGAACATGGAGGTTCTGCTCTTGGCTATCAGGGCCATTGATCGACTTCTCCTCCTCTTTTAAGAAAAACCATAACCAAATCTTGTGGCAATGAGTTCCAGATACTGACAGAGTTCCCATTTTTTATTTTGAACTTCCTGCCAATTGATTTCATTGACTGACTACCACCCCCTAACTTCGAGGGCACATCTTCACCACAAATCAAATCTTTTCTTTTCTTTTCTTTTAAAAAAATTTTTTTGTTTAAGAGTCATGGCTTTTCCAAAGGGAAGCTTGGGAATTTGCAGCTTGGGGTAGGGGGAGCTGGAGACCATGGAAAAATTCTGACTTCTCTCGCAGCGTGACAGTTCCCGTGGGATGCGCCACAATAGTCAAACTGTTTCTTAGACTAGTTTAAGCAGAGTTTGAGAGAACCATATCCAAGGTCTGTGTGCTTCATGCCAGCAACCCCTGTGGCCTGCCGGGAGTTCAACCAGCCCGTGTTTGCATTCCTAGCAAGAGCAGGTGGGCAGTGTGGCTCATGGGTAGCCCAGGCATGCTCTGTTCCCTCTCCCCGTTCCGTTCAATAAGCAAGGAAACCGCAACTGGAGAAAGACTCCTTATTACAGTCCACCACCCTTCCAAAGAGTGAACAAAGGTCTGGCTAGGTGCACAAGGCCTCTGCCAGCCAGAACTCTCTGGTTCCACATTCCAGATGGGGGTGTTTTCTTTGGTTCTCTCTCAAGCCGGCTGTACCAAGGGGGAAGAGAAACATCCCACAAATTCAGTTCAGTTCTTATGACAAACATTCGCTTTGGACATAGCTCTGATTTTTGGGGGGATGGTGGGGGTCTTTACCCCTCAAAAAAAGAGAGAAGAAATTCATGACCACCCCTCCCCATTTACAGCCCCAAACATTTTATTGAGAAGCCAGCTTTTGCCAAGAGGTTGGGAAATATGTTTTCATTAAGGAAATTAAAGGGAAGAGTCCCTGGCACTTTGCTGGCAGATGCCAAAAACGCAGCAGCTAATAATAATGATGAAACAGTGATGTGCAGCCAGGGTTCTTTAACTTGGGTGCCCAGCGTTTTTCTTGGAAGAGGGTGCAGACCACTGGCAGGATCCGAGGGCTCTTGTCTCTTCGGATTTGGTCGCAACAAACACTACCAAAAACAGTGAGGGAGCCCTTTGCCAGTGAAGCAACACCTAAGATCAGATGCAAGGTCTAATTTGTTATCCTTGAAGAATTTCAGCTGTATACATTACGGGAGTGCTTCAGCTCCCTCTATTTATTTTAGAGGGCTATTCTAAAAAACATTATAAACTCAGACTTGTCTACTCGATATGAATTCCATATGCTAAAGCTTAATTTTAAATGCCATTAAAAAGCACTTAACATTTGCAGTATATCAGATCCGACTCCCTTAGCAGCCTGGATCGGCTACGGTTTGGAAAGCAGTTGCCAGTTTGGAGGGGGGAGAGTTCGAGGGGGAAGGCGAAAGAAGCCGTTCAGAAGTTGGGGTCATAAATATCCTTGAAGAATCTTCCAGTGCTGTGTTAAAAAATTATGCTGAAGAAACTTCTGCCATACTTTTCTTTTTTTAGTCTTCACTTTGAGGCGTGATTCTTTTTTTTCCTTTAAAAAAAAAAGGTCTAATTTAAAATAACAAAACAAAAAAAACGAAAGAAACATTTGGCATTAAAATTGGATTCCTTCTGTAGCGTCCCCCTTCCCCCAGTCTGAAAGTGTGAATTAGTCTGTGTATTTTGCAAACTGAAATATCCTACTGTATTTATTCAGGTGCTTACCTGTGTCCAAGGTTAAGCGGAGTGCAAGGCTTATGAATGGAAATCAAAGATGGATGTTGGTAAACCGGCCCCTTTTCAAGCCCAAACTAATTACATGGTAAACACCTGGAATTTATGCAGGGTGGTAGAAAGGCTTGATTCAAAGGGCTTCTAAAAGGAACCCATTTTGTGGACTTCTGCCCGAGTGGTTACAAAATGGCAGCTCGGACGACAACGATCATTCAGCCCCCTCAGACATAAGTTCTTCTTTGGTCTCTGGGTCCTCTTCTCTTATTAGTCTACTAGTATTGATGTGTTCTGTGTGAAGAGTGATAATGTTAGGCCTGAATGGGTTATCATGGGCAACCATAGTATTCTTTTTTGAGATAAATTTGTGAAGGACTGTAGGGGTTTTGTGTCTCTCTCTGTGTGTTTTTGAGGAAGGGAACTGGGAAGAGTGGTCTGCTGTGAGAGATGTTAATATGGTTTCCGTTGACCATCTGGTTTTTGGAGGGAGGTGAGGGGGAGAAAGAAATGTATTTAAAATGGTATATGTGAAGCTATGTCTATGTAATATGTCCTAAGGAATCCAAAATGGCTGACAGAAACTGACTGAGAAGAATTTGGTTTGTAGTGGATTATGATACTGCCTTTCCATTTTTTAAAAGATGCCCAAAGAGACTTACAAATGATAACTTAGAATCTACTAATAGTTAAAACCTTTGGCATTAGGGTTGTTAGCCTATAGGTAGTTCTAGTAACAAATAAATATACACTGCAAAAACCTTTTAGCAAACTAATGTGTTCTATTTATGGTCATCATTTAGTAATGTGCCTAGTGTATCATTATTTCATCCTAGTCAGGTATAAATATTCATTACATTCAATAAGCAATAACATTCAGTACATACAGATTGAGAACTACCAGACCATTTTGCCTCAGTGTTTTAAAAGTCAAGCCCCAACGGGAGTTTCTAGAACTAAAAGCCCGCTTCTCCTTGCATGAAGTCTTCCAAAAAGGGGGACAGCCTTCTTGTATGGATGCTTTTTGCTGGTCCTACAAAAGACACATTATACAGCTAACATTCATGGACGGAGTACTCCTGTCATTCTCAAAACTGCACTTTACTAAATGATGACCATAAACAGAACACATTAGTTTGCTAAGAGGTTTTTGCAGTGTATATTTATTTGTTACTAGACTCACCTAACACTGCAGCTCGGGTTGCTTCAGCCTATAGGTGGGGCCTGGAGATCTCCCAGGATTTCAACGGGTCTCCAGACAACGTAGATCAGTTCCCCTGGAGAAAATGGCTGCTTTGGAGGGAGGAATCTATGGCATGGTACCCCACTGTGCTCCCCCTGCCCCCCATACCCTGCCCCCGCAAATCTTTAGAAGTGTAGGTTCTGACACACCACTGTTATCTGCCCTAAGGAGTCTCAAAGTGGCTTACAGTCTCCTTCCCTTCCTCTCCCCACAACGGGCATCTTTTGAGGCAGGTGGGGCTGAGAGTAGGGTTGCCATCTCCCTCAGAGCAGCCAGCGGGGGAGGAATGCTGGAAATTAACACAATGTGGCTACATGACCCGGAAGTGATATGGGCACATTGGGGCTGTGGTGACTCTCTGGTTTTTGGGCAAAACTCTATGGTAGAATTAGCTTCTACCATAGAGTTTTGCCCAAAAACCACAGCGTCGACCCCAAAGTCCCCAACACACCCATTGTGTTAATTTCCAATGTTCCTCCCATTTTGGGAGGTGGTAATTCCCCCCTGCTGACCAGCTGACTGGTGGTGGAGAAGTGGGGGCTGAAAGCAGGAGACCCCCCACCCTCACTGGGGGGGGTCTGGCCTCCCTAGCTGAGAGGGCTCTGAGAGAATGATCCCAAGGTTATCCAGCAGGTTTCATGTGGAGGAGGGGTGGGGAACCGAACCCCACTCTCCAGGTTTGAGTTTGCCGCTCTTAACCACTGCACCCCGCTGGCTCTCTAGGAATTTCTCAACCTAGAGTTGGCAACGCTATGAGGTATAGATATCCAATTTGTGACTGGGAGGGGTTGGGAATTTGCTAGAGGCAAATGGAAGCAGGAAGAAAATTATTTATTACTTATTTATCGTACGGCACGCAAGAATGCGGCTGGGAGGCTGGGGAGACGGAGAGACTCAGCTGTGACGTTCAGTGTTACCTTGGCCTGCCTGTCTCCAGCCTGCTGCAGAAATCTCTCCCTCTGCACCTGTAAACTCTGCTTGATATTGTTTGGATTGCCTGGCAGGGCTTGTGTGCCTTTGAAAGTTGCATGATGGGCTGAGAGTTTGACAGAACGAGTTTTCCCATCACTGAATTTCTATACTGGAATTTGCTTCACCAGTGGGATTTCCCCCCACACCTGCTGTTTGGTGGTCTGTTGCCTCTGGATCCCAGGTGCTGTTTTGTTTAGCTGTCATGACCGACAGCCACTGATGGGTTCTCTTCTCTTATTAGTTTACCAGTATCAATACTTTTTTCTGCGAACAGCAAGAATGTTCGGCCCGAATGTTCTAACCCTTAAAAGGAAAGCCATCTAAGTCAATGATGACCCTTGTGGCGATGCGTTCCATCAGTTAATTTTCCATTATGTGATGAAGCACTTCCTTTTGCTGGGCCGCGAACTTCTGGTTTGCTTGGCTTTTTAAGGTTTCTCTGCCGTGGAAGCCTGCTGGGTGATCTTGGATCTGTCACATACTCTCTGCCTAACCTACCTCGCAGGGTTGTTGTTAGGATAAAATAGTGGAGAGGAGAAGGATGTTAGCTGCTTAGGGTCCCCAACTGGGGGGAAAAGGCAGAGTGTAAATGAAGTAAATAAATGAACACTATGTGCATGCAATACATCCATGACAAAAATATGTTTCGTCGTCATGTTTGGTTTAGAGCGTGGGCTGTGATTCTCGACAGCTGTACCTCTGGCCTCTGAGTAATGCATTGATCTCTTTCTTTTTCCTTCCCATAAGGAGGATGTTCCCAAGTTACAAAGTTAAAGTCACGGGGATGAACCCGAAAACCAAATACATCTTACTGATCGATATTGTCCCTGCGGATGACCATCGGTACAAATTCTGCGACAACAAATGGTGAGAGAATGTTTGCTGGCGTGAGGATGAGTGATGGAGATAAAATGCCCACCTCTGACTGGTGCTGCATCCATGTTGTGCGATCTCTAGTGTACAACGGGGTGAGGAGGGAAATCCTCTTTCTCTCGAAAGGACAACAAATGGTGAGAGAATGTTTGCTGGTGTACGGATGAGTGATGGAGATAAAATGCCCACCCCTGACTGGTGTCGCACCCATGTTGTGCGATCCCGGTTTGGTTCTCTAGTGTACAATGGGAAGAGGAGGGAAATCCTCTTTCTCTCGAAACCTCCACGTTTTTCTGGGGATCTTGTAGACTGCAAAGGCAGGCACGGGCCATGCAGCCATGAAGGAAGAGCAGATCAGCTTGAAGCAAACTGGGCTGCTACCATCAAGGAGCGTCAGGGTGGGGCGATTGTTGAGGCTCCCCAGCCGGGCAGGGGGGAGGCACGGGCCATGCAGCCATGAAGGAAGACCAGATCAGCTTGAAGCAAACTGAGCTGCTGACATCAGGAGCGTCAGGGTGGGGCGTTTGTTGAGGCTCCCCAGCCAGGCAGGGGGCCCACCGCTGACCAGAGATCCTTGGCCCATCTGCCCCTACCAGAGAAGGCAGATCACCCCAGAAGGTAGCATTGCTCTCCTCCTGGTGGGGCCTGGAGATTGCCAAGAATTGCAACTGATCTCCAGACCAGTTCCCCTGGAGAAAACGGCAGCTTTGGCGGGTAGCATCTGTGGCATCACATCTACCCTGAGCTTTCTTCCTCCCCCACACTCTGCCTCCCCCAGGCTCCACCCCAGATCTCTGGGAACTTCCCAAGTCAGGGTTTACATGACACTGCAGACTACAGGAGCCTCTTGGAGCAGTTTCCAATTCTATGGTAGGGTATAGGACCCTGTATTCTGGAGATCAGCTGTGATTCCAGATGATCTCCAAGCCCCACCTGAAGGTTGGCACCCCTACCCATAGCCACCACAGCAGCCCAGCAAGCAATCAGACTGAAACCTTCCTGAAACAGGCACGATTGTTACACGGGTCTAGCAATCAGTGCTTCTTCCTTTCTTATGTGCTAGAATGAATTTATTGTGATTTGCTGCTTCCTGTCCTCCAACGAACTCTTGGTGGTGTGCACGGTTCTACCACCATTTTATCTTCACAAAAGCCCTGCGAGGTAGGTATGTTTGAGACTGATTAGTCCAAGGTTGTCCAGTGAGTGTCATGGCACAGAGGGAATTTGAACCTGTGGCCTACTCCAACATTCTAACAGTGACTAAACCACCCTGTGCCCCCGGCTTGGTTGCCTCCGGCCCCTTCCCCTTCATTTTCAACAAGTCCATCAGGGGCAAGCTGACCTGGGCGAAGTTGGATAGAACATTTCTGTAAGTTTGCGAACCCGAGGAAGGATTGTAACTGGCCCCTGGTGCAGGGAACTCCCCAGCCCACCACATCCCGTATTTTCCCCGAGTAGATTGGGTCCACCGCCTGTAGGACCGTTTCCCGGATTTCGGGGTTCAGTCCTACCCGGTATAACTCAGCCAGCACCGGATCTGGCCAATTTTGGTCCTTTGCCGCTCGCAACTTGAACTCTGAGGAGTATTATCTCACCGATCTCTTCCCTTGCTTCAGGGTGTGCAGGAACGCTCTTGCTTTGGGCCGGGCGTTCCGATCCTCAAACTGGGCATGCAATGCCCACAATAAAAGCGTCCAAATTCACCAGCTCCGGGCCCCTTGCGTTGTGCAATTCCACATGCCAAGCCGCTGCGGCTCCCCGTAAGCGGACGGTCACCACATCTACTCGGCTGCTGTCGTCCAGGAACAGGTGGCCCGACTTTTCCACAAACTTCATCACTTGAACCACAAAGTAGGACAGTTCTCCAGGATTTCCGTCGAACGTGGCTTCAATCAAATCTTTTGGGTGATGTTGCACAGGACCTCTCGGACTGCCTGGCCGGGGCGCTGGAGCCGGGGCCTCCCCTGGTCCCGGCCCGGGTACATCCTCAGGCCTGGGCGGTGGCAGGGAAGCTGGTGGGGCAGCGGAAACTACCAGTGCCGCTGGTGGGGCTTCCCTCTCTGTCCGGATGGCTCGGATCACCAACTGCAGGATTGCTTGGATGACTTCCTCCAACTCCCGTTGCAGTTGACGCCTCTCCCGAACCACCACCTCCATTCTATGGGCCAGTTCCAGTCCCTCATCCGGGGACACATGCCCACTTTCGCCTTCGACCTCTCCATCACCCATGCTCCCAGCGGTGGTTCTAAGGGGACCCCATGGGGGGGAACCTCCAGCTGAGGCCAGTCCCAGGTCGAACCTGCTGTCTCTCCGGGGCCTCTGCGTGAGCATATAAGTCTCTGCTGTGGAGTCCGGGTTGAATTGACTCCACCTGGAGTTCGGCCGGTATCCCTGGCCGGGTGGCTGCCGCAGCCCAGAAGGGATCAGGAACAAATGGGTCGACGTCATCTTTGGGACTGCTTCCGTTCCCTGCCATGGGACGGTCATCAGTGCCGTACTGGTCACTGGTGCCTTCGCCTGGGTAGTGGGAGTCTCCCCCCCAGTCATGGAGGAGACCGAGATCTCCTCCTCCGAGGGAACCTGTTTCTCCTCTTCAGAGGGAACTTGTTTCTCCTCCTCGTCGCTCATCTTGGGTAGAGAGAGGCGTGCAGATAGAGAATGAGGATTCTTAACAGAATATCAGATTCCACAGCCAACAATGGAGTACACTCTTATCAGAAAGGTTATACTTGATTGCAGAGCTATAGATGCAGTAACAAAGTCACTGTTAAGAATGGCGTCCCCCTCCGCCCGGATGGCTTGGATCTCCAACTGCGGAATTGCCTCTCCCGAACCGCCACCTCCATTCTATGGGCCAGTTCCAGTCCCTCATCCAGGGACACACGCCCACTTATCGCCTTCAACCTCTCCGTCACCCATGCTCCCAGCGGTGGTTCTAATGGGACCCCGTAGGGGGGGAACCTCCAGCTGAGGCCAGTCCCAGGTCGAACCTGCTGTCTCTTCGGGGGCCCTGCGTGAGCATATGTCTCTGCCGTGGAGTCCGGGTTGAATTGACTGCACCTGGAGCTCGGCCGGTACCCCTGGCCAGGTGGCTGCCGCAGCCCAGAGGGGGTCAGGAACAAACGGGGCGATGTCATCTTTGGGACTGCTCCCGTTCCCTGCCACGGGACGGTCACTGATGGCGTAGTGGTCACTGGTGCCTTCGCCTGGGTAGTGGGAGTCGGGCCCCCCCAGTCATGGAGGGGACCAGGATCTCCTCCTCAGAGGGAACCTGTTTCTCCTCTTCTGAGGGAACTTGTTTTTCCTCCTCATCGCTCATCTTGGGTAGAGAGAGGCGTGCAGATAGAGAATGAGGATTCTTAACAGAATGTCAGATTCCACAGCCAACAATGGAGTACACTCTTATCAGAAAGGTTATACTTGATTGCAGAGCTATAGATGCAGTAACAAAGTCACTGTTAAGAATGGCGTTGCCCCTACAAGCATTATGGGGTATAGGGTATTCTTATGCACACACTTAGGCCAATTAGCCACATTCCCGCGCGCCGGAGAAGGAGCCCCAGGCCGTTAGAGCCGAAGCTGGGAACCAAAAGCGCTCCCACGGTTCCCTGAATCCCAGACACTACACACCACCTGCAAGGCCATAGATAAGCAAGTGTTACAGAAGCAAAGAAGGAATGCAGCGGTACTCTTGGTACACAGGCCAAGCAAGCACCCCACCCCCAACCCTTATGGCAGCATAGCTGACACCCTAGCTCTCATACAATGCTGAAACAGAAGCTAAATCAGAAGGGAAGCTTAGGCAGAGTCTAAACTGGACTGGGAGACAATCCAAGACAGTGTTCCCTCTAAGCTGAGTTAGTGTGAGCTAGCTCACAGTTTTTTAGCCTCCAGCTCCCACATTTTTGTCTTAGATCAGGAAGGATGGCTCCAGAGCCAGTTTGGTGTAGTGGTTAAGTGCGTGGGAGAACCGGGTTTGATTCCCCACTCCTCCACTTGCACCTGCTGGATGA